GACCTAATGATTGGTTTAGAATTTCACAGATTCTCAATAATTAAACGTTTTCTATTTACAAAGTTTTCAAATCCCTTAAGGGTTATTACAAGCACATTGTTCTGATACAGGTTCATTATACAATTGTCTAGTTACCATGTTATTGTGCCAGAGGTCTGGGGCCACACAACAGAAGTTAACAATATTCGAACACACAAACAAGGTCACTTTTAAAAGAAGGGGGATTCCTGCAAATGCTATAATTTTCCTCTCATTTTTCTTTCTTGTGGTGACTTGTATGGGCACCTGTTCATTACAGTACCATTGAGGCGGATTGTCGCTCAAAAACATTGAGCGTTTTTTAATTGAGGTTTAATTTTTTTTCTGCTGCACTTCGATTATTTTGCATGATCGGACACACAATAGACATATAAATCATTGTCAATAGCCTGCATGACGTTGCAACGACAACAAAAACTGGCACATTTCCAATGGCCATTGAAGAAAATAATAATATTGGCCATCAATGAGCAGCCCGAGTTTCCATAGCTCACGAACACATCGAACACGGACTGCATTTGGAGCAGCATGAATACACAATAAAAACGGCACTTGGGGCTACTTTTATTCTTTGCTCTGCAGAAGGAGTCAAAAAAGAGCACAGAATTACTCAAATGTACACCACACAATTGACACACGACCGAGAGTCATTGCTGGGGTTTTGTTACACTTCAATTGCATACATACCCGTACATACATACGAACGTTCATTTATTATTGGGTCATTTCAGAAAGTCAATATTGATTTTCAAGCCATTGACTAACCACTGGCCCAATAGAACACTTGTTACACACGAACTTCATGCCTGAAAGTGATTGTTTTGATTTCGGTTTCGTTTTTTGTTTGTTACACTTCCAAGGAATTGCATGCCTCATTCCAGTGGTGGAAGATGTGGAGGTTCTGTTTTCAGCGTCGCCTTTAATTGAAGCTGTTAACAAGTTGTCAGAGCCTGGGGTTTGAACTTAATTACGAATGAAACATACATATGTTTTTTTAAATTACAAATTACATGTTTTGAATATTTTGAATTATTTACGAACGCTCAGTGTTGTGATATTGTAGCGGATAATTGCTTTGCCATTGGCTGGACGGGTAGTAATACAAGAACACTGATTGTGTGGAACATGTACTTATTGTAACCTGAAATTGCAGAAGGAACATTGGCAGGGTATACATGTTCAATGAGAGGATTTACAGAATTTCTTTTAGAGAATCTACACACCTTTTAAGACAAGATCCACAGATTTTCAGTGGAATAATATACATTTTTTCTTAGAACATCTAAAGATAATCTCCTAAAAGACCTCCAATAAAATATGTATCGATCTTCTTATAAATAAGTTAAAAAGTATCAGTCGATTTTTGCCGACCGATGTATACCCTCAGCCAATGTTCGATTTTTTAAATATATTTTGAGTTCTGTTATGATTATTCAAACTTTTGACCGTCTATGGAGTAAGTTCCGAAGGAATGAGTCAATATTGTCCATTTCGTATCGGACCTAAAGAAATATGATATAAATAATGCGACGTGCCAGGTTTGGACTTTATCGACTACTTTCTACACCTTATATGAGATATGTATTAATTTCTAGAAAATGTTAAAATGGGCGTCTGGTACCACCTACGGATACAGATAAAAATATTGATATGGACAAATTTTTCAAGAAAATCGAAGAATTTTATGCGAAATCATAAATTTCATATTCATCTCAGGTTTTTGATTGAGAGAAATATTTAGATATTTATTTTAGATATGGCGAGTTGCTAAGAATCGCTGACTTGTTTCGCAAGTTATGACAGATAAAAGTGTTGAAAATTGTGACCCTATGTTCGTGAGGTACCAGAAGAGGTTCGCAGATATATATCATTCACAATAGATATTGTGCTAGCAAAAATGTTTGTACAGGGTGAGATAAAAAAAAACTGCTAAAAAGTCAAACGCCATAATTTTTACATTTTTTTTTTTTCAATTTTATTGAATGAAAGCAAAAAATGTCGGAAATAGCATAATATTTTAGAATAAGTTTACATTTGTTCGAATCGGTATGTTTGGCACGAAATATGGCTTCAAACGGCTAATGAAACCGTCACACCCTGCCCGAATGTTGCTCTGCGGTATTTTTGCCCATTCCCAACGAAGCGCTTGCTTGAGGTGATCGACACTTTGGTATTTTTTAGTGCCAACCTTGCTTTCTAAAATACTTCAGACACAAAAGTCCAACGGATTGATATCCGGAGATTTTGGTGGCCATTGTGCGCTGGAAATGAAGCGAGGAACCTAATTTTTTAACAATTCTTGAAATGTCTAAGGTCGGCGGCCAAAATGTTTGCTTTCCCAAGGCTTTAATACATCCTCCAGAATTTTTAGCGATAAAATTCGGCATTTATTCTGATGCCACGGTCGATTAATACCAGCGGAGAGCCACCATCGGCAGTTATGGCGGCCCACACCATCACCATGGCCGGCGCCTGAGTTCTGGTAAAGTAAACACGATAATTTTGTTTGTTTACAAACTGCTGGACAGCGAATGTTTTCTCATCGGAGCGGAGAAAACCAAATTCGGAAGCGAAGGATCCTTTTTGCTCTTTTGAGTCTATTTCCTTTCTGTTGCGGTGTAAGTTATAGCACTTTTTGGAATTTCAATGGCTTTACTCCGAGCTCATTTTTCAATATTTGCCGAAGTTTTTTCATCTCACTCTCTATGTGTTAAATTTCAGGTGAGTTGGATGCTTATTTTGCTTTCCTTCCTTATTTCGCCTTTTGTTTTTCAAATCTTGAACCCTATGTTGGAGAGGTAACAGAAGAAACGGTCCAATTCTCCATTACCTTGTGATGATGGAAATATTGAGATGTGCCAAGTCTGAATGGAATCGGATGTTGATTTCGCGTTGTATGACCCTTTGTGGGGGAGGTACCAGAAGGAGTGGACCGATATATCCCATCTTCACAGCAGATCTTGCGTTAGTAGATATAATGTGATGGGATCGGATTTTATGATCGTGTTGTTTGTTCAAAACTTCGACCCCTTGTGGGGGAGGTACTAGAAGGAATGCTCCGATCTCTACCATCTTTAGAACATATCTTGTGTTGATGGAAATATTGAGATGTACCAATTCTGAATGAAATCGGATATTAATTTCTTTCTTTATGGGTTTTTATGGATATTGAAAATTTGTACCCTTTGTAAGGGATTTACAAGAAGGAGTGGACCGATATAGCCCATCTCCGAACTCGATCTATGTTTGATAATAATATTACGATGTACCAAGTTTGGACCGAATCGGATACTCCCTTCGAGAGTTATCGTGTACTTCGGATTCGGATGAAACGGATTCGGTCCAAAAAGACCTTTGGTCTAAAACCATTACTTCGATGAGTCACGTTTTTGCGTATCAAATGATACGGCTGTAGCTATATGACAGAGGGTATAAGAACAGATATAACTTCACGGAGAAAATCCGTAGGACTTCTTCTCTAATATCTGAATATCTTCTCCTAAAAGATCTGCAGATATTTTCATAGAAGATATAAAGATTGTCTCAGGAGATCTGATATCTTCTCAAATAGGTTCTATGTTATAGATCTGTAGATCTTCTCATAGAATATCTGTCGATCTTCTTATAGAAGATTTGTAGATCTTCCCATAGAAGATCTGTAGATCTTCCCATAGAAGATCTGTAGATCTTCTCATAGTATATCTGTAGATCTTCTCATAGAATATAAGCAGACCTTCTCATAGAATATAAGCAGACCATATGAGAAGGTCTGCTTATATTCTATGAGAAGGTCTGCTTATATTCAGACCTTCTCATAGCAGACCTTTTCATAGAAGATCTGTAGATCTTCTCACAGAAGATCTGTAGATTTTCTCACAGAAGATCTGTAGATTTTCTCACAGAAGATCTGTAGATCTTCTCACAGAAGATCTGTAGATCTTCTCACAGAAAAGATGAAAAGATCTAAAAATCTTCTATAAAAAGATCTACAGATCTTCTATGAGAAGAAGATATGCAGAAGATGTGTAGGTCTTCTTATGGGGGAAATACGCTCTCAATCTATCGTTATCGCTCTCAATCTTTCTCGCAGGCGAGCTTAACCAATTAATTGAAAAGCATATTCCCTTGCTTGCTATTTCACCCTAGAACATTTGTAATTAGGCGATTTAATGACCTGCAAATACCACCCGCATTTGGGCGGTGCCATAATAACAAATCAATATGAATAAATATTAACTTTTGACATTAATAACAACAACAACTAGAAATATTTGTTTTTGGCATATTTGACAGCTGGTATTAGTATGTCATTGCCCGAATCGACAGAATTACAACATCATTTTCATCGTCATAATTACAGTAATGGCAGTAAGTCGAGCTGTTTCCACGAACGGCGTTCGCATGAGCGCATCCACGAGATAGGTGCCTGCCGCCTGCCACACACCTCCCCCCACCCCAGTGACGATTTTGAACATCTAATAAACTACGTGAAGCAATTAACGATACTTAATAAAATTGACACAATAGAAACAGCAGCAACAACAACAACAACAACCACGACATCACTTACATAGGAAACAGTTATATTGTTGCTGGTTTCTTTTGTTATTGGCAATATTGCGCTTTTTGCTGCCGCTGTTAGATCGTTGTAATTGTTTGCTTAAGGAGAGAGAGGCAAACAACGAAAAAATTACAAAAAACACTTTAAAGTTGACACAGCGGCGGCGTTGGACTATGACAATAACGTCGCCACCAGCGCCATTAACACAAATCCAGCTGTGGCAGCTGCTGCTGCTGGTGTTGAGGCTGTTCGGTCTGCTTGTTTTGCCACCAACAAAAAGAGGTCAATTGTAATTAAATGCAAAATTTACGGCAGTTATTTTTTCTACGCTTCTTTTTTTCTGGCTTAAAAATAAGGCATAGAGAAGAATTAATTTTTTTTCTGATGTTGGTGAACTTACTTTATCTAGACGTGATGATGAGAATTTTTTGGCTCTCTTTTGGCGCTGCTTTCCTTTTGGGGGGACACAATCATTTAAAATCTGAAACGAAAAAAAAAAGAAAGGGACATATTTAAATAAAGGTATAAAGGTAAAGGACAGAAGTATATAAAATGAGTAAGAAGTAAGGATTATATCGGTGGAGACTTATTTGAAATGACCTTTTTTTAGACTACTGCAATAAATTCTGACTGCATTTTAGGCATAAACCCCTACAAAATTTCTTATAAGCAACACAAGATTTTTAAACAATGTGTTTTTCCGCCTGTAAGTTCGGCCGGGCTGAGCTTTGAATACCCTCCACTATTTGGAACGAATTTGGCAATTAAAAAAAAATAAAAATAAATAGAATCCGTTAAATATGCTGCTGAAATCTTAAAAATACCGAATGTATCTGTTATATTAGGATCTATACGACGACATGAACCTGCATTTGTCATAAGCCATTACAATATTCAAATACGAAACTTAAAAAAATCGGTTATAATGTCATCAAAATACAGGATATCGGGAAGTACCGTTATATGGGGGCTATACGAAGACGTGGACCTGCACAGTCTTAGGCTGTAGGATCCATTAGGAATATCAAATACCAAATTTGAAACAATTCCGGTGAATAATGTCGTTAAAATCATCAAAATACCGAATATTGGGAGGTACCGTTATATGGGGGCTATACGAAGACGTAGATCTGCACAGACAATTTTCTGTCATAGGCTGTAGTATTCATTACCAACTTCAAATACTAAATTTGAAATAGTTCCGGTAAATAAAGTCGCTTAGATCCTCAAAATACCGAATATCGGGAGGTACCGTTATATGGGGGCTATACGAAGATGTGGACCTTCATGGCCCATTTTCAATACCAAAAGTCCTGTAGACATATTACACATTTGAGTAATTTCTTATTAACTTACTTCCTTTCGTTCGGAAGCTAGAGTGATTTCCACAGACGGACAGACGGACGGACATGGTTAAATCGACATAGAATTTTATGCTGATCAAGAATATGTATACTTTGTGGGGTCTAAAATGTATACTTCGAGGTGTTACAAACGGCATCACAAACTTAATATACCCTCCATACTATGGTGGAGGGTATAAAAAGGACAAAATTCTATGTGGTACCTGGAAACACCCATAATATCGACCTCCATAATATCAAACCGAATCTGATCTGATCAATCTGAATCGATCTTCACTTTTCATTTCAGAATCAATACAACTAGGGTGCTAAAATACATCGTGCTCGGAAAGATATTTTCACAATGAACTTGACATGTGATAAGGCCGGGTTTTTGGATATTCATACTTAGAGGATACGAAAAGTTCTAAAATGTACTAAAAATACATATATACACTGATTTAGTGCAGGATAGATGTAGCAAAGGGTTTTTGAAATTTCGAACTTTAATGTTACGAAAAGTTCTAAAATGGTGCCAAACTTCTAAAAGGCGACCATTTGGTATTATTTGAACGGATGAAGTTAAAAACTTAAAATTTGATATGAGAACTAAAGTTGGAAAGTATATCAATGGAGGTGGTTTGGAATATGTATTAAGTGTGCGAACCGTACTAAATTTGGAACAATTCAGGGATGAAGCTGGAATTTTGTAATTTTTTTTTTTATTGGTTAAGAAAGTTGTTACTAAAAGTGCTCAAGAAGTACTAAATTGTACTATATTTTGTACAATTCTGAAATTTTATTTTTAGATTACTGATGTTAGTTTTGTTTGAGATTTGTCGGTGGTTTGGAAATACGTCCTTTATTTGTACGAAAATTACTAAATGGTACTAAAATTTGGTATTGGGTCAAATTTGATATTGAGCTCATTGTTTGTGTATGGGTTTTGGTTTTGGAAATGTATAACAAATTGTACGAAAAGTACTGAAATCGGTGAAGGCATAAAGGTGGAATCACTAAATTTGAAACTGAGGTTTATATTGGTTTCATTGCTAAGATATTGAGGTGGATTTGGAAATGTGTGCCATAATTGTTGAAAAATTATTAAGTGGTACTAAATTGGGTATTATGTGAACGGATAGAGTCAAAAATGGTTGGAAAGTATAATTGATATACGAAGTTGGTTTTGGAGATGTGTACTAAGTGTGCGAACTGTACTAATTTGAAACAGTTTGGTTTATGAATGTTGAAATTTTGGGCTCCCTGTTTGTGGCAGATTTGAGTTAGTTTTGGAAAGTACACAAAAAGTACAAAATAGTACCATATTTGGTACAATTTGGTATCGGGTGAACAGATAGTGTTTGAAATGTGAAATTTGGTATTAGGGTCCACCTTCATATTTTCATGTGTAGCCTGGACATTTGGAAATGGTTACGGAAATGTGTTCTATAATTGTACGAAAAGTACTGAATGGTACTATATTTGATACTGGTGTAAGGGATATAAATAAAATTCTGAAATGTGATATTTAGAATACAAATAGTATGTGTGTTTGAGATTTGGCGGTGGTTATGAAAATAGTGTATTATAATTGTTCGAAAGTACTAAATGGTACCAAATGCGATATTGGGTGAAGGGATAGAGCTGAAATACTGAAATTAGATATTAAGGTCTCGATTGGTATGTGGGATTGGGATATAGAGCTGGTCTTGGAAGTGAGTACTATAATTTTACGAATAGTACTAAATTTGGTATTGGGTGGAGGAATAGAGCTGAAATCCTAAATACGTACTGTAGTTTTTCGAAAAGTACTAAATGTAGTTAAATTTGGTATTTGGTGGAATGAATGCTGTAAAAACGTACAATTTTATATTGCGATACCTGTTGGTGTCTATTGCGATATGGAACAGTTTCATTATTGGTGGCGGTTTCGTCAATTCGTACTATAGTTGTTCGAAAGGTCTTAATGGTACTGATTTTGTTTTTAAATTAAACACTTTAAATTCGGGCTTAAACTCAATTTTAAATATTAGAATGTTGATCGTGGAGGTAGATCTAAATATTAAATATAACCTAAATGGAAATATAACCTAAATTACCTCGCTTTGTACATTTTTATACCCTCAGCCATATGGCTACAGAGATATGGACAAGACGTGTCCATAGAAAAAACGGTTTTAGACCCTAGGACCAAATTCGTTTCAGGACATTTTGATTTTGACATTTAGCGATGTCCGTCCGTCTGTCTGGCTAGGTTATGCTTACGATAACTCTCGAAGGGAGTATTCGATTTGGTCCAAACTTGGTACATCGTAATGTTATTATCAAACTTAGTTCGAGTTCGGAGATGAGGAATATCGGTCCACTTCTTCTGGTACCTCCCCCATAAAAGCTCGAACTTTTCAAGGAAAATATTTTACTGCACAGAAAGAGAAAGAATAATCCAGTTTACTTCCCCACAAAGGATCAAAATTTTGAATATTTATAACTCTTATAAAATATGATGTAGGAGTCCGATTGTCTTCAAATTACACACATCACAATATTTTTAGTAACCCAAAGTCTGGTGTGAGGAGGGAAAATGTTGGTCCACTCCTTCTGGTTCCATGCCTGCAAAGGGTCAAAATTTTGAATATCCATGAAGCTCATAAAATGCGAAATTAACATCCGATGCCATTCAGACTTGGCACATCTCAACATTTCTATCATTACTAGATCTGTTATGAAGATGTTATAGATCGGACCGTTTCTTTTGGTATCCCCCCCACATAGGGTTCAAGATTTTGAAAATCAAAACGCTCAAAGAAAGCAAAATGAGCATCCAACGCTGTTCAAATTTCACACACACACAAAATTTTGCTATCACAAGATCTGTTCTGAAGATGATAATTTATATCTGCGAACCCCCTCTGGTACCCCACCCACAAAGGGTCACAATTTTATATATACGAAATAGACAATATTGGTCCATTTCTTCGGAACTTACTCCATAGAGGGTCAAAAATTTGAATAATCATAACACTGTCAAAATATATTCAAATAATCGAACATTGGCTGAGGGTATACATATGTCGGCTAAACCGACTGATACTTTTTACTTGTTTTGTTAGCCCTAGATCTGGTGTGACGATGGGATATATCGGTCTAGTCCTTCTTTTATATCGGTCTAGTCCTCAAAGAGTCACCATTTTTGAGTAACCATGAAGCTCATAAAACGCGAAAATAGCGATACCGATTCCATTCAGACTTGATAAATCTCAATATTTCCATCAACCCAAGATTCGTTATAAAGATGGTGGCTATCGGACCATTTTTGGTACCTCCCGCACATAGGGTTCAAGATTTTGAAAAACAAAACGCTCAAATTTCCCACACACACCAACATTTTTGCTAACACAAGAAGATGTGAAGATGATATACATCTGCTGACCCCTTCTGGCACCTCACCCGCACAAAGGGTCACAATTTCCAATACTTATATCTGTCATAACTTCCGAAACAATTCGGCGATTCTTTACAATTTGCTATATCTAAATACTTTTCTTAACCAGAAATCTGATATGAATATGTAATTTATCGGAATTTATGATTTCGCATAAAATTGGATATAAATGTTAGATTTCCTTCACATCCAATCGATTTCCTTCACATACCAATATTTTTATCTGTATTAGATGAAGTATTCCACATTTTCAAAAATTTCCACATTTTCCAAAAACTTGCATATATCTCATACAAAGTTCATGAAGTAGTCGATATAGTCCAAGTCTGTCAGAATATAATATTTATATCGGTCTTAGGACAGATAAGAATTTGCCAATATTGTCTAACTGCTTTGGAATCTCCCCCATAAAGAGGTCAACAGTTTGAATAATCATAACTCAGGGCTGGTGGTAGACATCTGTCGGCAAACCCAAATTGATACGAATTAAAACAGACATAATTTAAATATAATGAATTTTAGCAAAATTGTCTATTTCGCAATCATGTCTTATTTTTCTAAAAAAAAATTATATCAAAATTTGGTGGCGGAATCATTAAAGTAAAACATTTTTTCATTTTGGCCATCTTTGATGTTAATACCACATGCAAGAGATTAGATGACAATATAGCGGTGCGTTAGCCTCGTTAAGCTAAT